GTGTGTGTGTGTTTGTGTGTGTTTGTGTGTGTATGTATGAATGTATATATGTATGGTTTTGTGTTGGTGCATATTCCACAAGTGCTCTTGTCAATATAGCATCCCACTGCGTTATAGCTATAATTGTCTATCCATATATACAGATAGGATTGTGGTCGGCTGCACACTCAGGAACGAAAGTTGATGTAAAAAGGAATTTAAAACCGAAACATTGATATTGTGGTGCCTTGTTTGGCTAGATTTTTACCAATTTATTCCTGTGAGTCATCCCTGCCTGTTAGTTGTCAAGCACTATTTACGAATTTGAATCAATTTTAAATTTAATTTTGTTTTCCTACATAGTTTTTAAGCTGCAGCCAACGTTTCCAAAACGCCGTTTAGATTTCTCTTTGTGGTGTGTACCACACTCCGTAGCCTATCACTACTCAGCGGTCTGCCACCTATCTTATCCACCCTCACGATACTGTATGCAAATAGCGAGATATGTATTCAAAAATGAGACTCGCTACGGGATCAGATTCTCTTTCTGAATACGCAAAATTCGATTGCCACCTTTCAAAGACGACACGAGGCGATCGAAATCTCCACAGGCGGTCGTAGACTAAGTGTGACGATACATCTAGCGACAAATCGCAGAGGGTTTTAGTATATATATATATATAACCGCTAAATCGATTTGGTTCAACGAAAGAATATTGAAAATCGGAACAATCATTCAAATTGCCGTCATTAGTTGACGAACTTAAAAATTATGACAACATAGCCTATATATAGGTTATATATATATATCCGATAAATCAATTTGGTTCAACGAAAGAATATTGAAAATCGGAACAGTAATTCAAATTGCCGTTATTAGTCGACAGACTTAAAAATCATCACAATATAGTATAGATCGCTGTCAATTGATGTGTATATAAAATAACTGCAATTACACATTGAGACCTTAATAACATGCTCAGCAACTTCTACGACTGTTTTGATAGAATAGAACCCACTGAAGACAGCCTTACTGGCAGAAAACGAGCAACTCACTTCTCCGAGGAATCGACGACCACACACACGCGTGAATCCATAAGCACCTCTTCTTCCATCGTTAGATCTGTTACTAAGCTGTCATCAAAGAGCGAAAAGCCCAGGGCAAAAGGAACCCCCGTCATATCTAATTTGGTCGCATCAGCCTCCGTGGGGACCATCTCTCCGGCTTCCGTGTCAGCTTCGTAGGCTGGTAATAAAACTGTATACATGCGTGTAGAAGTTCAATGATAGACTAAGGCTAACGAATTCACGAGTTTATACAGGAGCAACCAGGTACGATGCTTCGTCAGAAGTATCTCGATCGTTAGGATGTGGGGTTGCACATGTTTCCATTGACTAAACGGTCGATGGACATCTTATTGTGGCTACAGTCGTGTGGCGCTCGTGTTTGTACAACAGGGAATCTTTCTTATTCAGCGATGATAAAGCAGTACTTCAATGATAAAATAGAGTATCAGTATTCACTTAGCTGTAGTGTTAACAGGCCTATGTCTGGAACGTAAAACTCAATCCAGAGGTCGTGTTGTCAGCCTGTATAGCGCATTCGGGTTCGAGACATTGCGATACTCGCGTCTATATATAGCACGCACGATGTACGACAATGTGACCAAATATACACCGCTCAAGTGTCTCATTACTCACCATTCTGAAGCGCTGCAACTAAAGCCAGCAAACTGGCAGTTTCTAAGCCCCCATCAAATTCGAGTATATTTATTTCTGCATATAGCGTCCAAGCTATTTCACCTTCAACAACACAAAGCTGATCCAGGGGCAGATACTTCCCCCTAAAATGTAAGCAGAAGTAGACAACATAAATGAATATATGCATCTCGATGAGAATGAGTGCAGTCAGCAAACACGTTGATATGAATATAAGTGCGTGTGCATATTGAATAAACAAATGCGTGTTTAAGACAATACACATAGGCGTATAGTTCAATTCACACACGCTCACTAACTTTACACTGCATCTCTCTCGTCTGTACACAACACTGTTATACTGCTAAAATCGGCAAAAAATAGCTCGTATCATTCATACAGCACTGATTTCACGCAGACAGGCCATAATGGGCGAAATCGATTGGGGCGAATGAAACATAGGGTGGAGAAATTTGCCAAAGTGAACCATTGGTCCTAGCTAAACCAAATTTACTACACCGTCGGCGAGCTTGTGCGAACATACTTACAGCCTAGAGCGGGATCAGTACGTACACGTGCCAAAGTTGAGGTTCGACTGTACATACCTTTGGAATATGTCGCTGATGAATTGATGTAGTGTGTTTGTCTTTTCGTTACTTGTCTGAAATTGAGTTCCGATAGAGCTCGCCTGTGACATACTCACCGTGGGAACTGAAAGAAATACAAAGTTAGCTTCCGGAATAACATAATGCAATAACCATGCCTTCTCTGAGTGCTAACATGTCAGTGAAAGCTCACTGATATCTGCAACGTGCCTACCTTCATATAT